GTTCCGCAACACTTTTTCAAATTTTTGATTCAAATTTTATCTTTTTTGCTCACAAGTATTGGTATTGACTATTGTCTATCTGTCATGGATACAACACAGTTGTAGCTAACCCGCAGAAGTTTCTCGATGCTCCGCTTCCAAAACGTGGCGGAGGGTGAGTCAAAAGATTCTATAGCATTCATAGGTAACATATATGGCCATTTGACGGCCATATATGTTACCTATGAATGCTATAGAAGAGAAGATTTCGAAAAGCAGTTTACAGCACTTTCTTAACAACTTACTAGTAATTATAACAGTTAAGAAGCACGTCTGATGAACTTCACACGGATCATATTATAACCAAGAAAGAAGTTTGAAGGAGATGATGAAATGAATTGCTTGCTGTTGGAGTTGAAGCTAGTGAAGCTAGAAGATGCTGCATTGAAGAAAAATCAAGGAGAACGGTCTGTGACTTGCAAATGGGGAACCTTTTTCAGATTTTGCTTACCGTGCTGGACGACTGCTGACGTTACAAAAGTGCACAGTGTTCTACATCTCTACTGGAAAGGCTAAATTTCGACGGACCAGCGGCTGAGGCAACCCATTGGAGGCGTGCAGAGGAAGGAGCCCGCCCTTCACCTTGCAACGCTTATAACGCCTTCACCACTAAAGTGCCACATCTAGATCTTTAGGGGTCTAACCTCTCTTAACAATCGCATCTTTCCACTGGAGCAATCATTTTGATCTCAACCTACGCATAAACTCAATAATTACTATGGCCGCAGAGCGGTACGGTTCACGCCACTCCCTGATGGACCGGAACAATCAGTGCGCTGAGGGTGAGGGCTTGGTTGAGACCTGCTCCTGACGCTCTTCCAACAATTACATTTAGCGAAGTCACGAAAACCGTATCACCCGCCAGCCATCGTGATCGCTGCCTTTGAGCCACACATTCTGCCGTAATACGCTTTTCGGCACCACGTCTGTAAAAATGTTGGAATCAAAAGTAGAACTAGCTAAGCGACAAAATTCAAAGAGTCGTCAACGACGAGTTTATGTAATTCTGAAGTGGAATGTATTGAGGAAACTACAGCACACTTACAGGGGGTCCTTCAAGGCAAGCCGCGCTTTTTAGAAACTATTGTTTGCATATTGTAGGCACGCATGTGCGAACCACAGCACCATGTCTCGTGTTCGCTGAACGGTTTTAGTAGTACTGAAAAAGTGGTGAAAAAGTGGTTAATGATACTCTTAGTTGTTCGATCCCCCGAGGCGGCTCAGTTTTGCAGTCAGGGTTGGCGGCCCTTGTTGGCTTCAAAAGGATCCTAACCACGAATATGACATCTGATTCTGATATTGATATTTAGCACGATCTGGCACCAATCCGTAGGCGCCAACCCAGAAGCAAAACTTGGTCGCCGAGGGAGATCGAACCATTGGCAGTACCTTATGCCTCTTTTTGGTACTGCTAAAACCGTTCAGCGAAAATGAATTATGGGAAGTAAAAAAGCGGGGTGATATTTGCAGTAGTTGGGAATGACTTCCATTTAAAATAACAAAGCATAGACAGGATGTCCAATGCAACTTAAATAACGGAGTTTGAGCTGCATTAATCAAAAAATCAAAATTCCCTACTAGCTTTACAGGACAAGGGGAAGGTAGCAGAGGCTTGAAGATTAAAATAGCACGTAATTTTTGCCAAGCACGTATCTAAAGGAATCACCTACGGAAAAACTGTTCGTTTCCATCTGCTGAACGGCATCTGCTCGGGTAGGTGGGACCGGAAGTGCGATGTGAGCGTGCTACGTGTAAATTTCTGAGAAGTTACCAAAAACTCGTTGACCTTACGCTTTCAACACACTTGTACGTGTCCCTTAAAAGTTGTGTCACTTTCACGGCTGGAATTCAAGAATTTAGAAGAAGAGGAAGAAAGAAGAAAGATAATATAGCATCCTTGGCTGTTTGGATTAATATCGAAACCAACGTATATTTTTCGGTCTTTTTGCAGTCTCGTCAGGTAGTGGAGAAAGGTGTCAATTTCTGGTGAGCATAGAAGCAAGCGTTATTTTTTTCGTGGACGATTCCTTCAAATGCTAACGCCATTTCAATTCAATTCGAATACGTTGCATATATCGAAGGAAAGATTAATTTCAATGGGTTTTTCCTTGTTCTTTTCATTT